TCTACTTTTAAGCAACTTATTTACTAACATAAATTCATTTTTTAAATTGTTTCTTTTCTTTATTTAAGTTTTATAACAACTTTTAAAATTATAAATAATGGTATTTGTAATAAAATGAATTTGTTTTCATTCCTTTTGTATAATTTGTTTATAAATTGATTTGTGAATTAAAAACTATTATTAATATTCACTGATAAGACAAAATTTTGTACATTATATAAAAGATTGACATATTGAACTCTAAGTAATATTAATAAAATTTCTTTCATATTTTACGATAATATTTTTTTTTAATATTTTTTCTTAGCTCTTTGTAGCTAAACATAATATTTTATTATCTTTAATTTTTATTGACTATTATTTCCTTGATAATTAATTTGGTGAAAACTTTATTTTTATTGCTCTCGGGGTCCTTCACACCAGGTGTGAGATGACCCTTGTCGAGTGCGAAAGCTTCAGGGGTTCCCTGTGACATTTCTGCCAAGCGTGAGCTGACTCTCACCAGACATGGACACTTTATAGAGCTCTCTATAGTGTTCTCGCTCGGCGTGGACTCGATCACATCAGACGTGGTTCAAACAAAGACTAGCGTGGTCCTCTTGAGGTATCGTGCTAGGTGCAAGGTGTATACCATTGGACATTGTCTTACCTGCAAATTTTCTACTATACTTTTGTTGAATCTCATTGCTATAATTATGTTTTGTGACACTAATGTAGATAGGCTATGATGTCTATATATGAATGTATGACTATGAATGATGAGTAATGTGATATAAGAAACATGTGATATGCGAAACTATGAGGTCATGTCAATGTAATGCATTGAGTTTGATTTATAGACATCATAAGCATAAAAATGTTTTTGATAGGGTACGATATGGAATACGCTGTCAAGGAAGGTCCCTTATGCAAAAACCTGGGAGCTAACCTTGGGGATAACTCAATTTGGAAGTCCTAATTTTTCCCTTGTGAGCATGAGATGTATCTTGTGACTTAACTATCTCGATCAGACCCTTGTAATATGTTCTTTTAGTTAAAGTGCGTAAAGGATGTGACTCAACATGTACTCGTATACTACTTTAGTGTGTTGTTAGTAGCAATGTACAAGTGTGATGATTTACTAATGTCACATGCATGATAACATGTAGTCCGTTGCATACACATTATGATCTTGTATGTTCTTGCTTATTATGATATGAATGAGTTAAACATGATGATGTGTAATTGTATATGTTAGATCTTATTATATGTGTTGTTTGTGTTTGGCTAACCTGTTTGCATTTCTACAATGTGAGTCAGGGTGAGATGTTTCTCATTCTTTTTCTTTTATGTTGTCTTCTTGTAATTTTTGCAGGTAATCATCAACATGGTGTTGAGGGTGTTGGTGATGAGGTTTAATCCTCAACATTGAATTTGCTCTAATAGGACATGTGACATTGAGGATTTGTTAAGATTTGGTTTATGTTATTTAAATTGAGTAGTTGGTTTTATTTCCTTTGTAATTTGTTATTTATGCTAAGTATAGTTTATGTTAAAATGTGATTTTTTCTACCTGTATGAGTTTTAAAAATATTTATTATATCGAGGTTATTCAATTTATATCATATTATGTGTTATGACATGGGAGATAGAGGGTGTCATAGTTTTGAGTGTAAAGGGCTTTTACTCTTCTCAATGTGCTTTGAAGAATTGTCTGAAGATTAGGAAGATGATCACCCTAGAGATGTACGATCATCTACGAGTACTCATCAAGGTGAGAATTATCATGTGGATGCTGAGACTGGAGATAGGGCTTAGGCTTTTTATGTTGGATGTTGTGCTCTGATAAGGTGTGATATCGAGCCTTTAGTTAAAATTTCCATTTTGTTGATTTTTTTTTAATGTTTTATGACTTCATGTTAGTTTCCTTATGTAATAATTTTATTAGACATTTGTATTAGTTATTGTTTTGGTGAAGTGTTATTATTGACACCTTTATCTTAGGGAATTTGCAAATCATATTTTATTCAATAAAGTTTATTTTCAATCTTTTTTCTATCTTCTTTATTTTATATGCCTATATTAGTATATGGGTAGGGGTATCACACCTATATATAATAAAACATGTTGATTCATCAACAAATTTCTTTTTATGACTCATTATCATCTGTTATTTTGAATAAGTTTTTCCAACATTAAGGGAAGGAAATAAACAATTGAGAAAAAGAGATTAATCATAATGAATTATCATCTTAATCCTTCAACTAAACAATGTGAATTAAATGTTCAATAGATAATTCATTTACAAAGTTTAATCTTGATTATTAATTCAGCCAAAATATAACCTTAATTTATGTTACAAGTTGAATCTTTATTGACATTTATAAGAATTTTAAACATTGAACTTGTTGTCCTACCTCGAGAATCAACTAAACAACTATTTCACTTGATGCAACCTCAAAACAATTTATCCTTTAAATATACTAGTTGTAGAAATAGTCTTCTAGAGAAAAGTTTAAAATATTTTTCCACAATCATACAAAAAAAACTATCCCTATAATTTGTGAAAATATTGAGTATGATTTGTCATAAATCTTTAACTACTCACCTTATTGTGAAAAACAAATTCTTATGTTCAAAAGTCAATGATTTCCTATCACAATTTAGTTTATCATAAATGAGTCAATTATGAGACTCAAAAATGAGATTTAAGTCTAGGCAAGATATTGGAAAAAAAGAAAGATAAACTTTTTATTGTTACTTTATGAATCAACATTCAATGAGCTAAATACATTGATTATTGGAATAACAAAATCATATTAAAAAAATTATTAAAATAATAAATTTAAATAATCCTTTAGATACAATGTAATTTTGGTTTTATTTGTAAATTTAAAATTGTTTTTTTTATTTTTTTAATGTAAAAATTGATTAAAAATATAGAATTGAAAAAAAAAAACTTTAAATGTTAGAAACCAAAAATAAATTTACTCAAAATTTAAGTTATTAAAATTATATTTAAAGTAACAATTTTTTTCTTTTACAAGTTGTTAGACTGAGTATTCATATTTTATCTTATCTGAACAATTTGCCTAACTCAAAGAAACTTTTGACACATTCAATTTTAAGAAATTAGACTCAATATATTTTGAGAATGAAATTGGGTTATACTTTTTGAGTCATTTCCATCTAATCTAATGTTATATATTCTTTTAATATATATAATATATATATATATATATACTTAAATAATTATGTATTAATAATATAAATTTTCTACTTGATAAATAATATTTTGATTAAAATATAATAATATATATTAATACCAGAACAACTTAGTAATAGAAGATTTTGATAATATACACATAGATTTAGGTTCTAATCACGTTGGTATCATTACACTTTTTACAAATAAAAAATAAAATTAATTATTTTAAAGTACTTAATTATAGGTGCATAATTTTTTAATTATATAATTTAATCACATATAATATTAAAGTTAACATATCATATCAATTAGATCCTATTTATTACTGTAACGCCTAATTATATAATATTAAATATATATTTCTTATATGTTATTATCACAATTATATCATTAATAATATTTTATATAAAGATAAAAAAGATTTTGTGAACTTATTTACATATAGTTAGCTTATATTTACATTACATACTATTTTAAAAATATTTATAACATCATATTATTTTACACATGATTTATTTCTTTTATTTCTATTATAATAATTACATTGGTGATGGAAATAAATTTATAATTTGATTAATATGGTTGCTAGGTGGTCAAAGAAAGTTACTATAATAGGTCATTCAATAATAGTGGGGTTTTCTTGGTCGAAAAAAAATAAAAATAATCATATGCCTTGAAACGTGATAGAGTTGGAAATAACATCCATATTCCAATTCCCTCTAGGGAAGACAGTAGTAATAAAAACTGTAAAATGACTTGGAATCGCGGGTATATCCATCTATTTGTAATATATTTAATTTTAAAAACAAAGAAAAATGAGGAGTGAGAAAAAATATCCAATAAATACAATTAATTCAATGGAGTGTACAAAATTATTTATAACCAATATTAAATATGTATATATATATATATTCATAAATATATTTTAGACTATCTTGTTATAATAAAATTTGAATTATTTTAGTAGTGACTAGTTAGGATAAATAAACATTATCATAATATCAACCAACAAAAAAGATATTTTACCTAAGTCCTTACTCATTTAAATCTAGGTTAAAATTTCAACTACAAATTAATTCAAATTTTATTCCTTATGATCATAAAATAACATTTATCTTTATAATATATGAAGAAATAATAAAAAGATGAGCTTAGAATATTTTAACAAAATCATATTATAGTTAATATTAATATAAAAATAATTAAGCTAAATAAGTGTGAGTATTTTTAATTATTTAATATTCAATATAATATAATTTATGGGATATATTAAAGAATATTAATCAAGTAATTGACAATAATAAATATCATAAAATAATTATCCTTATTAATTATTAAGGATAAAAAAATATTTTAAATTAAGCAAGTAAATGAGATAAAAATTAAAAATATTAAATAATAAAAATAATTAAGTAAGAAAAATAATAAAATAATTTATTATTAAAAAAATGATAATTATTAAAATCGTTATTAATTTTTAAAATTTAAAATAATATTAAAATATAATAATTTATCAAATATTGAAGAAAAAGAAGATAATTAAAAGGAGTTAATCACCTATATGCTGATAGTTTAAAGTTTTTTACACTGACAACTAATCAGATATGTTATTAGTGCCTTTTTTATTATTATTTTATTAAATAAGCAAATGACATGACACTATTAATAAATCTGATTGGTTGTCAGTGTAAATTTTTTTTATAGATGATTAAAAGATATATCTTCTTTATATATTTGTATATTATTATTATTATTATTATTATTATTATTATTATTATTCACCCTTTACACTACACAACAATCACCACACCCTCGTTATACCCTCTCGATTATCCCCATTCTCTCCCTCAACAACTCTCTCTCTCTTCAACAACTTTCTCTCTCCTCGCCGCACCCAAAATGGCTTCCCTCGCCCCCACCTGCTCCCCCACCTCCCTCCAGCTCCGATTGGCCTTCGCCGCCCCCAAATTCCCGCGCCCTCCGCACGTCCGCATCCGCACCCACAGCCGCCTTCGCTCCCTACGCGCCTCCGGCTCCGAGTGGGCCGGCCCCGGGCCCAGACTCGACGGCCTTTCGGGCTGGTCCGACACCGACGCCGACCAACGCCCCGACACCACTCCGAAGAAGGACTCGTTTGGAGGTGAGTCAGTGCGGTTCTCGAAATTGTTCAGTGTTTAATTTTCTGTTATTATTATCTTTTAACAAGAAAAAAAAAATTATGAAGTGAGTTAGGTATTCCGATTGAGAAGTGTAAGTCAAATGTATTGTTTGAACTTTGATGCTTTTCATGCATGGATGTTTCAAATACCGATGTGCATGTAGTTCAAACCTCTTAACCTATGTTTTCTTTGAAAAATGAAGGGATGGTTTACATGACTTGTATATAATATTCTTTTTTCTAATAAAATTTTCAAGATATTATAGACGATGATGATGGCAAATGAATGTAAATACTTGCTATATTAAGAAAAATAAAGGAACCAAGTAAAATTAATAAGTAAATTATGAATAACTTATAAATATGATTATGTAATTTAATTAGAGTACATTCCAAACATGAATTGTAATTTATGGTGAGATTATTGGATTTTGTGATAATTATTTGAAATGTCATTTTTAATTAGTTAGTAGTATATAAAACTTTTTACACTAGTAGTTTATCAAAATGTAACGAATTCAACCACTGTACCCATACCCATGCAACATAGTTTACAGCTATTGTTAGAGTAAAGAATGTATGCACTCACAGTGTAAAGTATTTTTACAATAATTATCTTAAAAGTCTGATTGGTTTACTGGATGGTTATTTTTTACATTGACAATGAATAGAAATTAAATTCTTATCGTTATGGTAGCTGTTTGTTGGTGGGGGAAGTTCGAAACTAGGTGTGGTTGTTTCTGTTTGGAACTTGTTCGACTTTTTTTCATCATGATTGAACTTGATTTTGATTGGGTTATTGGATTTGGATTGCATGTTACTTGTTAGTATTAATAAATATGGTTAGGAAATTGAGATAACAGGATGTAAATTATTGAAATTGTTGTGTTTATTGAAGTGTTAGCAATTCTGCTTTACTTATTAACACTTTTGAAGTAGCTTGCTTTCAGGGGTTGTGGGAGTAGGAGTGGCTGGAGTGCTTCTTCTTTCAGGGCTTACCTTTGCTGCCTTATCTCTTGGCAAACGAACTGGTTCCAGTAAGTAATCTTTACCTGCTTCTCTTGTTTGATAATCATTGAGTTGGGTGTAACGGATTTACTGGGTTTGAGTGAATTACTTTGTCTTCTGCATGTTTAACTGCAAATTTCTCTGTTGGAAATTGGAATGTGTGTGACTGGATGCAGGGCCAGGGCAACAGATGAAGCCCTTGACTACACAGCAGGAGGAACACTTGTCTTCTGATGACCATAATGATGAAATAACAGGACAAGTGAATGTTGACAGCAAGGCGGAGCATGGAAATGGTAAAATTGAAGGTCAGATAGATATATCCGAAGATTATTCATCTGCTGAGTCTGGTAAAATTTACAGTACCAATAGCATTGTTGATGATTCCGATATAGGATCCCAATTGATATATAATAGTAAAATCCCCTCTGATGGTGTTGATGATGCCACTAAACATATATCTGTTCAAGAAGACTTACAGCATGAGTCAGCTTTTGATAACAAGTTAGTTTTTGCCAGTGAAAGCCCAGTACCACTTGAATCTGAAAATACTGTTGATTCTTTTAATGCTTATGGATTTAGAGATTTTGATGGCAACCCTACTGTAGATACAGCAGAATCTACTTCCAATCTTAAAGAAAACCTATTCAATGTTGAACCAGGAGACTTGTCCAACTATGATGATGCTAAGCCACTGCACCTTAATACTGAGCAGCATGATGAAATAACCAGTTCAAGTGGCAGTGTAAGTTTTGGGGTTTCCAAAGCCTATTCTAGTTCAGGTGCGGATAATGAGACTGAAATTGTTAGTGTTGCGGTTAATCCTGAGTCAAATAACACAATTTCAGATCCCGAGTTTTTCAATGAAGCTGGTCAAGAGAATATTCTGTCAGCTTCAAAGAAAGAAAACCTTGACCTGAACAAAATTCCACAGGTCTCTGCTGAGGGAAACGAGCCATCCTTCAAAGAGCCGAGTGTTACTGGAAATGACCTGTTTGAAAAGTCATCTGTTTCATCATCAGCCAATACATTAGTAGATGAGCAGGTTAGAAATGATAATGACGAGGTTGATGACGTTAAATCTGAATCTCCAAAGTCTGGATCCTTTTTTTCTGTTCCTGGCATTCCTGCTCCATCAGTATTTTCA